GATGATTTGGGGGGATTTTGGGGGGGTTCCGGGGGATTTTGGGGTTTTTCTTTTGGGGGTTCCGTCGTTTTTGGGGAGGGGGCGAGTGGGGGTCCCTTGGGCCTTCAGCCTCATCGTCATCATCTTCCTCCTGCTCCTTCCTCATCCTCATCCCGGTTCCTGCCTCGTCTTCCTCCTCATCCTCCCCCTTCATCTTCATCCTCCTCATCCTCTCTCCTTCCTCTCCCTCATCTTCCTCATCCTCGTCCTTCATCTTCCTCCTTCGTCCCCCCTCATCTTCCTCATTCTCCTTCATCCTCCTCATCCTCCCCCTTCATCTTCATCCTCATCATCCTCCTCCTTCATCTCCCCTTCATCTTCCTCATCCTTGTCCTTCATCTTCCTCCTTCATCCCCCCTCATCTTCCTCATTCTCCTTCCTCCTCCTCGTCCTTCATCTTCATCCTCATCCCTTCTCCTTCCTCATCCTCGTCTTCCCCACCTTCATCCCCTTTTCCACCATCCTCACCCTCCTCATCCTCCTCATCCTCCCCCTTCATCTTCCTCATCCTCCTCATCCTCTCTCCTTCCTCCTCCCCTCCCCCTTGCCGGCTCCTTCCTCCTCCTCATCCTCATCTTCCTCATCCTCGTTCTTCATCTTCCTCCTCATCCTCATCCCAGTTCCTACCTGATCTTCCTCCTCTTCCTCCCCCCTCATCCCCCCTCATCTTCCTCATCCTCCTTCCTCATCGTCCTTCATCTTCATCCTCATCCTCTCTCCTTCCTCATCCTCTCCCCCTTTCCAGCTCCTTCCTCATCCTCATCTTCCTCCTCCTCGTCCTTCATCCTCATCCCTTCTCCTTCCTCATCCTCATCCCAGTTCCCGCCTCATCTTCCTCCTCATCTTCCTCCTTCATCGCCCCTCATCTTCCTCATCCTCGTCCTTCATCTTCCTCCTTCGTCCCCCCTCATCTTCCTCATTCTCCTTCCTCCTCCTCTCCCCCTTTCCGGCTCCTTCCTCATCCTCATCTTCCTCATCCTCCTTCCTCATCCTCCCCCTTCATCTTCCTCCTTCCTCATCCTCTCTCCTTCTTCCTCCCCCCCCCAACGCCGCCGTTGCCATGGAAACGCCGCCAGGGGGAACCCCGGGGAGCGCTGCTGCTCCCTCTCCCCACTGACCCCTCAGGGTCTCCCCCTCCCTCCTTGACCCTCTCCCTCTCTCCATCCATCCCTCCGGCTCCTCCCTCTCCCCATTGACTTCTCATTGGCTCCTCCCTCTCCCCATTGGCTCCTCCTTCTCCCCACTGACCCCTCCCTCTCCGCTGACCCCTCCACTCCTTGACCCTCTCCCTTCACCCCCCGTTGGCTCCTCCATCCCCGCCTTGACCCTCTCCCCCCAGCCCTTGGCTCCTCCCTCTCCCCATTGACTCCTCCATCTCCCCATTGGCCGTTCCATCCCTCCCTTGACTCCAGTCCCTGCACCAACCCTCTCCCCCATCCCTCGAGCTCCTCCATCTCCCCATTGACCCCCATTGACTCCTCCATCTCCCCACTGACCCCTTCAGCTCCTCCCTCTCTTCCTTGACCCTCTCCCTCTCTCCCTCCATCCCTCGAGCTCCTCCATCTCCCCATTGGCCCGTCATTGGCTCTTCCTTCTCTTCATTGACTGCTCCCTCTCCCCACTGACCCCTCCAGCTCCTCCCTCTCCCCATTGACTCCTCATTGGCTCCTCCCTCTCCCCATTGACTCCTCCATCTCCCCACAGACCCTCGTTGACTCCTCCATCTCCCCATTGGCCCGTCATTGGCTCTTCCTTCTCCCCATTGACTCCTCCATCTCCCCACTGACCCTCATTGCCTCCTCCATGTCCCCACCGACCCCTCATTGCATTCTCCAGCTCCCCACTGACCCTCATTGCCTCCTCCATGTCCCCACCGAC